CTATAGATACACTATAATGATAACGCACATTTTAATATACAGGGTGATTATAATTAAAGTTTAAGTTTCAAAACGCTATAAAAAAAGAACCACTCATGGAAATGACGTCAAATTTGAAAGGAATGTTTGAAGAAAGCGGAAAGCGTATGGCAGAAGAAAAAATTTGTTTCAAAAGTTAGAACAGATGGCACTGCAAGCGAAGAAGACGTAAATTAAAATTTTAGTTAAATTTCAGTGTTCTAAAGCCGCCAGGTACCAGGCTGTTCCTCATTTCGCGTCAGATTCGCAATGGGTGTTTCACTGCAGGATCGCTCTGCTGGTAAAGCTGTATTACAGAATGATGATTGTGCAAGAGTGCTCTGCAAAAATTCAGGACCTGAAGGGTATGAAAGAAGGCGTTGGTCCAATGAGTGTCGTAGGTCTAAAGAAAATGATGCAAAAATTCGAAACGACAGGTTCGTTTGATGTGCAATCTGGTAGAGGGAGAAAACGAGTGCATTCGACGGTAGTTGAAGAAGTGGCCACAGCATTACAAGAGGGTCGGCCGGTGGTGTGCAACCGTGCAGTGCACGAGTAATTGCCTGAACATTGGACAGGCCTACGAGCGCGGTGCTGAAAATTGTACGAACATCCTGCAATGCTATCCGTACAAAATTGGCCATGTGCAGGAGTTGCTTCCGTCTGACTTGACAGCTAGGGAGACTTTTGCGTTAGAATTCCTGGCTCGCATGGAAGTGGATAATGAATGGCCGTGGAAAATTGTGTGGACAGATGAAGCCCATTTCCATCTGATAGGATACGTGAATACCCAGAATTGTCGAATATGGGCAACAGAAAATCCACTGGCAACGCACCCCGTACCACTTCATCCTGAAAAGGTCACGGTATGGTGTGGGCTTTACGGCATCGTTCATCCTACAACCATATTTTTTTGAGCAGACGGGTGCTTCCGGTCCTGTTATCGCAACCGTCACTGGTCAGAGGTATGCATCGATTTTGCGCAACCACGTGATTCCAGCTCTGCAACAGCGTAGATGTGTCGATGAAATCATTTTTATGCAAGATGGCTCTCCTCCGCACATTGCACATCCCGTGAAGCAGCTGCTGAGGCGCCATTTCGGAAATGCTCGAATTATCAGCCGTCATTTCCCTACAGCCTGGCCGTCCCGATCGCCTGATCTTACTCCGTGTGATTTCTGGCTGAGGGGATATCTGAAGGATGTTGTGTTCCGTGCTCCAACTGCAAATTTAGCGGAATTAAGGCACGCATTTCGCAACACATTCTGAACATCACCCCGGAGACATTGCGATCCGTTGTGGAACATGCTGTTTGTTGCTTTCAACTTGTTGCACACAACGGTGGACACCATATTGAACATGTTTTGCGCCAGTCTCGCGACAGTTCCGAACTGCTTTGATGAATGGTTCTTATGCGGTATGTCGCCGCAAAACTCTTGAAACCGATTTGTTCCTTTCGATGTGATATGTACAGTCATGCAAATAAAATTATTCAACAATTCTAATTTGTCAATGCGCTTTAATGTGTAACTTCCACCTTAGCCGTTGTTTTACGAATCATTTCTCGTTTCTCGTCGTGATTCTCCCGCTTACAGCGCCATCTGTTTGCTAACTTTTGAAACTAAATTTTTCTTCTGCCATACGCTTTCCGCCTTCTTCAATAACATTCCTTTCAAATTTCACATCATTTTCATCAGTGGTTCTTTTTTTATAGCGTTTTGAAACTTAAACTTTAATTATAATCACCCTGTATTTTGATATTTGTCTTTCTGCGCCACTTGATTTTCAGAAACACTCCGTAGTTTCTTTTCTAAACCCTTAGAGTTTAAATATTAATGTTTTAGAATAGCAGAGATTTAGATTCATAAGTGGGCAGCAGAAGCTATAATTTTTATTTAAGAAAATAAGCGAAATATTTTTATTATTTTTTACGTGATAAACACTTCCTCGAGATACTATACTGTAATCAAAACATTTTAGATAACAATTCGTTTTCTTCCCCTTTCCCCTCGATAATCATTTTAATTACTCTATTGAGACGGCCGATTTCAAAGTTTTCTATTCGAATACTTTCCTTGTTAAATGAGTTTAAAATCAATTTACTCTAAAAAGAGAACAATCCTCCCTTTTATAAAAATTTTTTATTACTTATAAGTATGTGGCTCATATTTTGAATATATGGATGGACCCTATTTTCTTTCATGCAATCTGCAATTGCGCGAAGCCACAGAATCGTCTGTTTTAAATGCAGTTCCTGTCATCCTTTTATAAAAAACTTTTCTGAATACATTAGCCTTCAGAATATAGCGGAAATGGCCATTCTGCTCTAAAATATGCACCAAGTCTTTAGTCTCTTCCTGTTCTCTTTGCTAAAGAAGAGAGATTAAAGAAGCTTTTGTATGCGAATTACTCTATCTAACATTACTAGAAACTGAAATGAATATTTCGTAGAGCGATTCATTACTATTCTTTTAGAGTTTAAAAACAAATCTGAACAAGTAAATTCAAAATGTTGTTTCCGCTTCAGATACTGATGCTGTAAATTTCTGTTACATGTTAGGGAAAGCATAAAGAAATTATTAGGGAATATCTTGATTTGCTTTAATGGGGGGAAAAAAAACTTCGAACCATTCTATGACAGTTTTCAGTGGAAAAGGTACCAAACTCTGAAACTCTTTACAACTTCAAGATATTTAAAAGTTATTCACCATAATAATCCGTAGTTGTTCTGGTGAGCAACAGACCATTGGACTGCTTCTTTATAAAGGTCCTTATGATACACACCCAGACGATTATGGATCTCTGTATCCAAATGGTTCTTCCGGCTGAAAATTAGCTCCACGTAGATGTTCCTTCAGAAAAGTAATGACAGCAAAAGCGAAATTGCAATGTGGAGTTTGTTTGAGGTTTCTTAGTAAGCTTATAGAGACATTAGGTATTTTTTGGAAGCAGGAGTCATATGGTCACTTTACTTAACCTGTTCCGCCAAACTAAGTTAATGGCACTACAGGGTTTAGGAAGTCATCCTAGTCATTGCTAGCAATCTGACGGTTAGGCCGCCTTTCTACATTTTACATTAATCTGTAGTTTCTTGGATATAATTATTTTCATTCACTTGCTTCATTATCTCTAAGATGCCCTTGTTGCAGTAATAGTCCGTGAACAGTCCGTGAAGCAGGAGTCATGAAAAATGAGCAGCGCCTTCACCGGAAATCGAACCACGGACCTCTAGAATACGCGCCCAGCATGCAGACCACTATACCGCAAAGGCACGCTGAGAAGGTAGGAGAAATACCTTATATACCCCCTTTTTAAAAGGCGGGTGGGGTTTTAGGGGACCCATTCGTCAAATCCTGGGTATGGAGAATCATCATCCACCACCCTTTTAGTTCGGGCGCCACTGTAGAGACATTAGGTATTTTTTAGAGGCAGAAGTCATGAAAATGAGCTAAGCCTTCGCCGGGAATCGAACCACGGACCTTTGAAATACGCGCCCAGCATGCAGACCACTACACCACGAAGGCACGCTAAGAAGAAGGCGGAAGAAATGCCTTATAAGGTAATACATTTTCGCATTTGGTTATTAATTATTTCATGTGTATTGTGCCGCGAGGTGTTCATCGCCTTGCAAATTCCTTCTGCTTTCATAGTTATGGTAATTTTGGACTACATGTTGCACTACACTGTTTTCTATAATTCTTCTTTACCCCTGAATTTTCATAGTCCACACCCACCAGTAACTTGTATTTTCTAATATCATCAATTTGAAATGCCATTTTTTTTAGATCTTTCTATTCTCTGAAGACAGATATCGCATTTGCTTTCCTTATTTTCTCTTTTAAGGAATGCTAACTTCCACGAGTGCATAACTTTTCATAAGCACAATATCGTTGTTCGACTGCAAGTCCTCATTGTGTAATGAAAGGTTGCTTGAAGCTTCAGTGTAAGAAATCAAAATTTTGTATTTTGGCATAACGAAGCGAAAGCACGAAATGAACATAACGCCATTTGGCAAAGAGGAAACCATCAAATGTACAAGACGCTATTTTCCGACCAGAAGAAAATGTTCCCTAGGAGAAGGGCACATCCTATATTTAACTGATTTCTCCGCTTTTAAGGAGATGCTTAAAAATTATTGATGTTTTATTTTAATTTCGTTAATTGACATTTAGAATTCACTGGGAGTTCAGGAAGATTATAAATATGTGCAAGATAATCCTTCTGTGATTGAATGTCTTTTAATTAGTAAGATCTAAAATTTTGTTAATCTAAGCAGGGTTCAATTTTTAGAATTAGCAGTGCTGGAGTCCTATGGATGGCCACTAGGAATGTTAAATAAAAATAAATAAATAAAGTAATGAATAATTAAAATTAAATGAAATGTAAAGATACAAAATTAATAATTAACGGCAAATCCTGAACTAAAAATAAACATACTTGAGTTCATTTTATCTGAAGCTCCGATTTATGATGTTATAAAAAAACTGAGAATACTGGAGCCAGGCCTTTGCCTGAATTTAAGCCTTGAATGTGAAAGTTTCTTTTATGCTTAAAAGTTATATGACTATGGCTAGTGTAAGCCATAGTATGAACAACTTTCATATTTTAGACAGACCTGGTCACTGTAATCAATTGCCAACTACTATTTGTTGACAAAAGGTGTCAACCTCCGTTAACCAAGGCAGGTTCGGTGATAATTATATTTTTAATTAATAAATAGGAAAACTCAAATACCTCTTTGCCATTGACAGAGCATGCTAAATATCTTATAGGGATGGTGTCTGAGCTGTAAGAAAATGATCTTCATGTGGTATATGACACATTTGCAGTACACTTAAAAGCGTTGAAAGAAAATCTGCTATTCTTGAATACTACAGTACTATAGTTGAAATTTCAAATTTAGATGAATGTTCAGTTTTTTACTTTTATATCTAATTAAAAAGTCACGCGTTAAATTTTATTCACAATTTATTTGTAATTACGCTTAAATAATCCTTTTATTAAAAACCAGTTACCTTTAAAGAAGCATAGACCTTTCTCGTCCCTCTCGACAGTTATGGTTTCGTACGCCGCTTTGTTGCACTCAAGTTTAGGATTAGAGAGACTCTTGTAGCCCACGAACCCTTGTTCGCACTTCAAGACAAGACTTGGTCTGTTGATGAGGTAAAAATAGAAGCGGGCCTCATCTTGAACTCCTTGTTCTCCATTAGCATAAAGGTGGCCGCTCTTCTTTGCAACTACGTATTTCCCGTTGTTGGCCACGAAGCTGACGCTACCGTCTTCTTGCCATTCCAGGCTGAAGAGACTATTTGCTGAACTAAAAAGAAAAAAATATATGTTTGTAATGAAGCAGGCACTCGTTGTAACGAAAAAAACTTAGATATAATGATGTAGAAATATTGATAGCTCAGATACTTAGACTGTTGATCCATACTGAAGAGCATCGTGACAGCCGGGTCAGATTAAATATTCATTTTTATTTCATTAAACATTTTGCTGTCACAAGCAAATTCGCATACGAACCAAGTCAGAGAATACTCAACTAGCAACAGAAATATGTTTGGGTTATCAAGTGATCGTTTAATTCTTCAAAAGTTGCCGTTATTTTCTACTACGTAATCCATACTTCAGTGATCTTCTAACTTCAATCCGCTCGCGACTGCAGAATAATTGGTGTTTTCCCTAGGCAAGCACTCATCTAATATCAAATTATTTGTAGCGACCTACATCACAATTAAGACCAAAAAAACTGAAACTAACCGAAATGGGTTTGTTAAAACTTTTTTATGCAGTCTACTAATTTGTTTCATATTAACCTTTTTTTGGGGGGTCTTTTTAGTTTTGTTATTAAGCATCGTTTTCTTTATACTTATGTCACATATAGTTCAACAATAAAATAACAAATTTTTTAAAAGCTGAATAGCAGCATATGTTTAGAATTTCCACTGCAGTGTTATGTGCTTCACTTTATTTTTTAAATACCACGTTCTTCGCACTTACGCCGCGTAAAATTCAATTACCGCGGCAAAATCACAAAATATTTAAAAACAGCATATCTTTACATATCTTTAGAATTCTTCATAGAGTGTTGGAAATTGACATACATTTTTAATAGTCTCTATATTATTCCTTTAAAAATCAAATCGCGTGGACAGACGCCTAAAGTAGTTACCATAAAAAAGAAAAAGTACATAATTTTTAAAGAGTCCTGCTGGTATAATTGCATAAAAATATTGAATATTCCTAATTACACATCTCAGGATTTTAATACAAGTTTATTTAAATCAATCAGATAAAAAGTAGAAAAAAGTATTTTTAAAAACTGTGTTTTTTGCTTTTAAAATGCTTAGTTTATTATTATTCAGTAACCTTCTAGATTAAATTTGGAAGTATCTTAGGCCTTCACCGAGTAGTACCGTCGACGCGTGGAAGGTAAACGTATTTTATTTCCGGTCGCGGCAACACATTGCTTTCATACAGCCGAATTTGTTACTTAAAACTGAAAAATAAATATCTTACATTTTTCCGAAAGCGAACAGTCTCAAGAGCTTTGTATTTGTTACTAAATATTTATTACAGTTTTACAAAATATGAAATAGATAATAAAACAAATTCCAAATTCAGGCTTCCAGATGCCCATATTCGCCGGAGGATTACGTTATTTAAAATTTGATGGCTCTAGGTACCGCTGTCTTATTACAATGCGAAAAACATACATACATTTATGTAGATTCTTCATTATTTAATTTCTTTAAGTATAATACAGGGCTGTAATAGTTGGTGGCAACAGTTTGAAAAGTGAATCAATGCAGAAAGTGAATCGATGCAAAATGCCAAAACGAAATTATTAGGTCTTTTGGACTAGCGCTCTTTGGGCTAACAAATTCGAAATTCAAAATTAGGGCTTCCAAGGTGCTTATGTTTCGTTGGTGAACTAACTATATTATTCAAAATTTGATGGCTCTCAGATTCTTCATTATTTAGTTTTTTAATAAATAACACACGGCGATAATATTTGATAGCAGCAATTTGAAAAGTGATACGCCGTTTATAGTGAACCAACACAAAATCTCATTTAGAGACTAATAGCCTCTTTTGGGCTAAAAAAGTAAGAAAATGTGAGAAACTTGGAGAGAGGGATTTAATATCTTCTAGCTTTATTTCAAACTATGCCAAGGGGTTTGAAACTGGCGTAATTTAACTCTTAAAAAGACATTATCTTCCTATTGAGCTCTTTTGAATTGTTACTTTCAGCCAATTGACGGACTAATATTGCTCAAAAACTTTTATTTTATTGCCGCAATTTAACAAAAACTCTACTTTCCATTTGCTTTCTTTTCCATTTTTTATATCACAATACTAGGCAGGGAGGGGTTTGTGTGGTAACTTCTCTTCCGCCATAAATTCTGTTTTCGTAATAATTTTTGTCCCTCGTGAATTTGATTATTCGAAAGCTTTTGTTGTTGACAACTGACAAAGACTTTTTAATTGTTATTGATATAGCTTTTATTTCTCTGCTTTTTATTCGTTTCAAAGAATATTACCCTTTGAAAAATCAAAAGCATTTTGTTATTTATTTTTCATATTAGATACAAATTTTCTCGGGTTTTCTGAAAATTCATCCTCAAACCTATTTTCCCTGTTATTTGTTATTAATAAAATTTGTTGAGACAATCTTAAGAATCTTATTTCAGATTTTAAGTCCTACGAGATTTACAGCATTTCTAGTGAGTGTGATTTACCAAAGATTAGCCAGATTTCTTAACCTGGCTGTTCTTGTCTTCTGCAAAAGTCCCACACATCAGAAAAAGAAAATATCTAACATTTTTATAGATAAGTATTGTTACTCTCTTAATCAATCTTTTCAGTTGTGCTGAATTTATAAACAAAACTTCATTCAGTTAATGAATTAGATTTCTTTGAAGCCTGAAACAGTCACTATTGTCTGTTAACTTTAGTTAATGATTTTAGTTTTAAGTCTTTTCTTCCAAAGTTAGTTTTAAGTCTTTAGAAAACTTAATTTTTTTATCTAATTTCTATTCTGCTCAAAAAATGACTCTGCAATTGATGCATTCTTTGTTATTATTCGTTTATTTATTTTATTTCTTTTCTTAACGTGACATTTTTCAATCTACGAGTAGAATATTTTTATTTTATAAGGTATTTTCTCCCTCCTTTCCGCATGCCTTCATGGTGTATTCGGAAGCACACTCGACGCGCATTCTTGAGGCCCAGGATTCGAGTCCCGGCGAGAAGACAGCACATTTTTCCTGTTTCCTGTGTTTAAAAAAAAAAAAAAAAAACGTATTTGGCGACTGGATTCTCTAACCCCAGTCGCCCTTTAAAAGGGAGATTATGTAAGGTATTTTTCTCTCCTTCCTGCATGCCTTCGTGGTGTAATTGGAAGCATATTTGAAGCGTATTCGAAAGGTTCAGAATTCGAGTCCCGGCGAGGGCACTGCACAGTTTTCACGTCTGCTGCTGCAAAAAACTCCTTAAAAAAGTATGGGCCTTTTTAACAGTTTTCCTCGAAATAAATCTACTATCATATTAAATTTTCACAGTAGCGTGTTCATTTTCTGTGCATTTTAATTCGATGAAAACCTTATTAATATACTTTCAAGGTGACTATTTTATACGCACATATACATGAAAATATTTATGTACGTCATAACGAATCAAAAGTGTCGTTTTATCACGGAAAAAATCAAAACTGCTTTTCCCTTTTGAAAAATTCAATCAGGAACATTTTATATTGGAAAGAGAACGCAGATGATAATGTAAAAATAAGTGAGATAGGACTAAATTATACAGTCGAGATGCGTTCTAAAATTGGTTTTAATTGGTTACATCTATGGTAGTCATGTTTGTTAAAATTTCTCTTCATAATTAAGGGCGTTCATGATTAAAATATAAATACTCTGTTAATAATATTATCGCTATCAAATTATGCCAAAATATTATTGAACAGGACTCTTATTATGAATAATTCAAAGCATTATAAAGGAATGCATTTTTAAAGGATTTACCTGGTTACATTGCTAAACAAATGCTATTATAATTTGAAAGAAAAATAAAAAAAATCTTTTGTGGAGGGGATTAGTGATATCTCTATCAAATATAGCAAAGTGTGGTATTTCTAAAACTAGAATTACTTTAAGACTTTCCCAGGGTAAATACTAATTGCCACCAACATGTCATAACTGGAATGTCGATTTTATTTATTTCTCTTATTTTTACACATTAAGGCATTTAAGGAATATAAATTAATCACAATATTGATACTTATAGTGACTGATATTTTAGTGATACAATTACAATACTAATATTTATAGTGATTGATATTTTAGTAATACAATTAAAGTATTGATATTTAGAGTGTAAGTATTGTTTAGAAATTGCTGTTCAAACAGTTGTTTCTGTTAAGAATCTTGTTGCCAATGAGAAATACAGAAACCAATTTTAGCAAACTGTCTGTTATCCTGTCAAATAATACATTCTTACAGTATAAAAACTACATTTATGATATAGCATGCTTGGTAGTAGGCAGTTAACTCTTAATTCCAATGTTTCCGTTTTTGGAATGATTTTTATGCTCAGTATTAAGAGCAAACGCATGTTATGAAATTGCTTGCTTTAAATATGCAACATACGCCCACATTTTACGGTATATACCTATTAAATTATCTCACGCCAGAGCTAACCGGTTCAAAATCCTTGACGCAAGATAAGGATCACTCATTTTCTTATAAAAAGAATAAAAAATGAAGAAGAAAAGAGTGACAAAACACACAAAGCTCCAGCCAGAAATAAAGCAATATTTTTTCTTCTCCTAGAAAGCCTTTTCTTCAAGCACACAGAAAAATCTTTGCAAAAATCTTTGTAGACCTCTGAGGTGCTCACACATTTTCTCCGAGGAAAGATCTAAATCTAAATTCCAGAAAGGAGAAAGGGAATTTAATAACAACTTCCTCCAAAAGAAAACGACAAAACCGCGCCTTAATTTTGCTCTTTCACGCGTTAAGTAATGGAGTCTCATCCCCCATTGTTTTTTTTTTTTTCGTAACGGTGGTTGAATGACTGACCTAGAGGGTGAATGGCCGCCGGAGACAAGCGTCGATACCTCTTAGACAGCTATGTTTATAAATAGACTAATAATTCGATTAGGCGAAACTTAACTGCAGATATACCGCGAATCGCACAGTCTTTCGGTTTCTAAAAAAATTCGTGCTGAGCGAATTCATGTTATACAAAACAAACTCGATAATCTGGAATCTATTATCCGTTTTAAAGGCCCGTTTCCACTGCTGCGTATGCGTTTGCGGTGCGTTAAAATCGTCAGTTTCTACTGCGCAGTAAGACAGATCGACCGACAGAAATTTACTTTTAAATCCCGTATACTGTCGAGCTGACTTTGTGAGTATGTTTTCCGGGCACACTGGGATGTGATATTAAGCATTAAATGCAAATTTAACTGTGCTTAATTTGAAAGCAAATGTTAGAAATATAGGTCATATTATTTTGAAATATGATAGGATCATACTGCTTTGGAATAAAACAGAAGTCCAACAGTATGAGAATTCAAGGAGAAAGAAGGCAAGAACACGAAATAAGAGATCTCTTGTTGAGAAATTCCATTGTATGTGGGGGCTCACTGGTAGACGGCCAATTTAATTTTTAAACAAATGAATGCGAACTATTGAGAGATATGAAGTGTCAAAGGAGAAAAAAAAGCAAATATTCGTATCGAACCACCGAGTCTGCTCGCGTTGGATTATGTAAAAAAAAAAAAAAAAAAAAAAAACATGCACATAGTTTAAGGTTAATCCAACGTTCTGTGCATGTATGTTTTTTCGGGAACTGATAACAATTCTTTGGTTCTTGCGTTTTAATCAATGTATCAAAAATTAATTTTTCTATTTCATTTCCCTTCTATTGAATTTAGACCACTGCATTAATGTGTGTAGAAATCACTCGACTGACCGATTAAGCCCTTGACTATATATAATACCCTGTCTATGCAATTATCTTTCTTTTTCTTTTCCTGCTTTTCATTCTAAACTGCCAAACTTTTCATAATATTATGAATATCCACTGTGAGCCATACAAGCCTAAAAAATTAAATCTTTATTTATCGAAACCATTGTCTTGTCTATCAGCGGAGTTTTATATATCTGCTGCAATCACGATGTTCAGAATTAATTTTAAGCTGACTGATATTACCTAAATAATTCTGAATAATTTATTCTGTTAGTCGAGATACGATAATCATTATTTCTCGCTTCTCAATTCTATATGAATTCTAGAAGAAACTACTAATTAAAGGAAAGTTAATTTTTATATGGAGTTGATTTTTTTTATTTCGTTTATAAATTGTATATTCTCCTTTTCAAGAATTATAAAGGGCGTTCCGCTCAAAAGTAATAAGCTAGAAAAATTTGGCGAAAACTTGGTAACTGATACCACACTTTTTTCTTTCCTTGATAAGTTTCTTGAACATGGTAGCCCAATCCTTTGAATGCCAAGACCATCTGACATCATCTTTTCAGTTTTTCTTTTTCTGGAACTTTGTGATACTGTAAAAGGTCAAAACTTAATAATTTATACTGTAAAAGGTCAAAACGTTCATGATTAGCTCTTCTGAATTTAAATTATTATTTTCGCTATCTTGATCATGTAACATTATCCTCCCCTTTGATTTTTTCCTGTCTTTATAAGAAAATTCATGTTGCAGAAATTCAAGGCATACATAGAGCGGGTTTTTTTTTTTTTTTTTTTTTTTTTGGTTGTTGTTGTTTGTTTTGTTTGTTGCTGAAGTAGTTTGGCGTGAGAGTGACTATCGACTAGAAATTATGTGTAAGATGATAATAGTCGAAAGTATAATAATATTATGTAATAAATATTATGAGTTACACTGCTAAAATATGTAAATGCGTAATAAATTCAAGCGTGTTGTTTTCAAGCAGCAGCATATACATTTGAATTTTGAGTACATTTGAATGGTACAAAGTGTAGTTTTTTTAGCATACATATTTCCTTATAAAGAAGATGAAAACATCCTTCTTCTCTAGTAAAAATCTTTCGGAATTTTTAGTACTAGAAATTTTTTAGTACAAGACTTTTTAGTACTAGAAAACAAACCTGAAGTGGAATTAACACAGTTAGTAGCCATATTTGACTTCAGCAAGAATTCTAGATTCAAACTCTTTTCAAATGCTACCACTTTTTTTCAGATTGGCAAGACTGCTGAAATCACAGTAACAAGGAAAGAGAAGATGGAAAAATGCTTCAAGGAAGTACATGCAAACTATTCTGAAGTGGGCAATTTTCGTAGCACAATTGAAAATATACTTGTCCATTTATTGTTACTTATTTTCAAGAACATTTTCCTGTGAATTTATGCGATTTATACGCAACAGCTATAGGGATAGATTTACAGATCACGTACTACACAGGAAAATCATTCTGTTAAAAGAACTCTTAAAATAATGTTATCTTAATAAATTTTTCAAACTAGTTTTTTTTTTCAAACTAGATAAAGCTTTAACAGAACTGCTGTGCTTCTTTCCTCTGTGAAGGACTTATATATCCCTTTCATATATAGAAATTATCTGAAAATATAGAAAAGAAGAAAAAGAGAGTCTTCGAGAAAGGAGCAATCTCAAAAATCAATTTCAGATCAGCTTGAAACATGGTAAAATTAATCATAGACTGACTCCTATTTTATGGGAAACTGTATAAGGTACTTCTCCCGCCTTCTTAGCATACCTTCGTGTTGTAATGGTCAGCACGCTCGGCGTGTATTCGAGAGTCCTATGGTTCGAGTCCGTGTTGCTCATTTTTCATCTCTCCTGCTTCGAAATAACCTAATGTCTCTATAACTGTTCTTCGCGGGAGAGGGATATGAGATCTTTTTTCTTCAAAGAACAAAAATATTTTACTTAGCATCTTGGAGATGCTAATTCAAATAGGAGAAATAAAATAAATAAAAACGTCGTAATAAATGTACAGCCGTTTATTGATTTTTGTGTTGTTCGATAGATGGTAGGCTATTTTATTTTGAGTTATTTTTTCGCGTATTTCGATCTTAAATTATAATTTTAAATATGAAACTGGCATGTTTCTTTGCTGAATCACTGAAGCGCGCCAGAAACCCTGAATCTTCAAAATCTTTGTTTAGGAAGGGGGGATGGCATGGTCTTGATTTTGATAAAAATCCAGCTATGATCTCTACACAATAATTCTCACATATTCATCTCATAGAATATGAATACTATCTTTCACTGTAGTGTAAAATATCAGAATATAAATAAGAAAATACCAATAAGCGAAAGCAGGGGGAAAAAAACCCTCAGATTTATAGGTTTATATAGTGATGACGATATACCAACATCAGCGTCATAAACTAACAATGATGATGTCGGATCAACAAAGACAACAAGAAACCTTGCCTTCAAAAACAACAAAAGAATGATTTCAAGTATTTCTTTTTCTTTTCCCTATTCGTTTTTTAAATAAGAATCAAAAGCTATTAACAAAATGTGAAATGAGCGAGCTAATATGCAGAGAAGAATGCATTCGGATTTATATATTTTTTATCTATAGTTAGTGAAAAACAATGATGCAGATGAAAAACCTTCCCATTATTGACACAGTCTAGTGAATTAACTATCTGTAGCCTTATTTCAGGAATTAGATAAGACTAAAACCTTGCGTTTTTTTTTTTTTCCAAATGTTATTCTCATTGCATCATTAACAACTGCCATTCAAACGTGTAACAATTAAGGAAAAAATCCTAATTTTTTTACTTAGCTTTTCTAACGGGTATGAAATTTTGACGAAAAAAAAGCTTCCATATGCATTTTTGCGTTAAGAAAATCTTTAAAAACGATAAATATTACACAATGAAAATGAATACTGTATAATAACATTATCAGCTTTGATTCTTTTCTAATAATAAAATTATGAGGTATAATTTTTAAAATACTTGCACAATTTTATAATATGTTATGCAACTAAATTCCATTATCCCTTAATAGTTTTAAATAAACTGTTAATAATATATTGAATAATTAATAAGTTACGATTATTCGAAATATTAATGATGACATGTTAATTATTTAGCATTGTTTTCAGTTCTTTGAAGAATAACGCTGGGTAACGTACAAACTTTATTCCATGCACAATACCTGTAATATTGGCCCATATGGGTAAGATGGCTTTTTCTCCTTAATTAGCATCTCCAAGGGATATCTATCTTGCATATAAAATTTAACATCTAAGAAATAAATTCAGACAGTTTATCACCAATTTCTTAATTAACAATTATTTAGTTTATTCCAAAGGATGTTTTGTTGTCTTGAAGCTAATTATCATTCTCATACAGCATCTTCAAGATATCAAGCTTATATATGGGAGGCTATCCTATATGCAACCTTTCTTCGTTTTGTGGAACAACTTCATTTCTTATATGGTGTTGTCTTATATTAAGGCAAATGTATTTTTTAATTATAAAACTAACACATGCATTATGCAATGTTAACGCAAAATTGATGGCCAGATGTATGCACTTATATTCCATGCAATGATTTTTAAGTTCTGGCAGTTTTTCTAATGTAAAAGGCGAATATCACTACCGGTTCCTTATATCCCTTCCTTGAATGCAAAAATAACAGTTAGCAATCAGTAATGAAGCATGCAACTTATGGGAATTAACAAAAAAGTGTGATCCTTACCCTTTGTCAGCATTAGCCTGGATTCCCGAGCTGCTTTGTAGGCTCCAGTATTTATCTTGCATAGTACGGATGCACCATCGCTTACTAGCGCTGTCGAACTCCAACTGGAAAATCTCATGGTCTGATATTTCGTCCTGATTAGCAGTCACATCCACACCTAGAACGGATACAATTTCTATAGCGTATTTTTAACTTGAAACAATAAACACACATACGTTTATACAAAATTTTCCTCTAACGATAGGCGTGGAAATTTGTTTCTAGAAGATAAAAAAAAAACCTAAATTAATTTAACTTATTTTAATTGAATATTGGCAAAGAACACAACAGCTTTTGGCCTAACGGCAAAAATGGCTTTGTGGAGAGCTACGCTGCACATAGGGTAAAGCATAAAGATGCCCAAGCAATCAGCGCATTCCATTGCATTCTAACCCAAGTCGAATATTAGTGTTCAGGTGTCTAACACTGATCGGTGTAGTGGTTAGCGACCTTGGCTGTTGCACTGAAGGGCTCAGGTTCGAATCCTCAGAGAAAGTGTGGATGTTAAGAAATGTGTAGTATCTGTACGACATGGGGGGCACTTTAAATACACAGAGAGCAGAAAGTTCTCCCTTGTGGTTTGATAATGGGAAAGAGAGGTGGGCAGACCACTGGACCGTCCCACAGGGTGTGCTTCGTCAAATTGGGGGGGGGATTGCATAGTTACAGCGGTGGAACTACACCTGTACGATCAAAGAGGAAATTCTGTTGTTTCGCGCTCTTCTACCTGTTTCTCTTTCACCCATTTGGCCAATGGTTGGAGCGAAAGCTCTTAAAATCTGCTTGTCTGCAGGATATGCCATGAATTTGTTTACAAGACACAGGTCCCATAGCTGCTAGGATTGGGAATGGTACAAATTCGATAACAGAATGAGTAACCTAATTGACAAAGCAACAGATCCTTTCTTCCCAGTTGTCTTCTCTGCAGAAATCAAGAATTTTAAAAGTCGAGCTACAGGTGGTGTTAGACCTGGGCCCAGACTTTGTGAAAGCATCCGTGTTACTTCTCAAGGACGTATGCAGTGCCCTGGAGATGAATTATTCAGGTACCATGATGCTGGATTTTACAACACATTTATATTTATGAATTTAATTAATCCAAGGCTGCCGCCAGAAATTTGAGTAAATTATGAACCTGAACGAGAAATTCATCAGCAAGTTCCGCTTTGTTCGGTGATTTAACTGTCTAACCTGCATCTCACAGCAAAATAACTACCAATAACTATCGGTTACTATCCATTTTAAATTTCAAGGCTATGTCTTAAAGAGAATCAGCGGTACAAAATGGTATTTACAAAGAATTTATCTGCAGGTAAAAAGCAGTAATGAAATTTGTGTAATATTTTCACATTGTCAGTGAGTTTTACAGCAAATTTATTCATTATTGAAAAATGGGAAATCAGTGTTAATTTATAACGCAATAATTACATAGTTGTCAGAAAGCAGATAAATAAATAACTAAATAAAACGGGACAGAATGCAACGTAAAGCGAAATACTTATCATTAGAAAAGTATCTACTCGATGTTTTGACACGAAATCACTGCCAAGAACATAATTTCTTTCTAACTAGATGACAGAAAATAACTTATTATTCGAAAAGTTAGTAGTAGTTTGCTGAAACCTACTATTAAAGTTTTTCTTTGCAGAAACGCCCATAAGAAGTCTTTCTCTCAGAAGTTGGAGGTCATTCTGTGGCGGTGGAAGAACTAAGTAAAACAAAATAACATTTCAGAACTATGCGACAAAAGAACGGAAGCCCAAGTACACGCGAGAGCAACGGAGAGTACAAGGCTCCCGCCGAAATATTAAAAAAAGAATCTTTTCAGATAATAGAAGAGATAAAAATCTACATTCTCTGATGGAGTAAGAGGTTCTTGGGGGGAACAATTCGAAAATCCAGTTCAGTCGTCACGCGTGGTACGATGAAGGTCGAATGAAAATCGGGGCCATTTCCTTCGGCTGATCCCTTTAACTTAAAAACACATACAAAAAAGGACTGATTTTGCAAGAAATTTACTTTGTTCAGTTATTCGTTATTACGTAGCTAATGATAATTTATGTGTTTCTTTTATTTTTTAAAGGGGGGCTCCAAAACATTTTATTTGATAATTTCTTTACTTTTTTAGTCGTTAACTAGATGAACTAAGATTTTCCTAACTTTTGTTTTTTAAATATTCTGCTTTATTACAACTTACGGGAAATATATATTGTTATCATTTAAAAATTGCAAAGAGTTTCTGTTGTTGTTATTGGTGCTGTCTAACGTATATACGAGCTAGTTTTCCATAGAAAATCCTGCACAAAGGCGTCTTTTTCCTTAGGCAGATAGCCCACGACTGTTTTACCATAATTAAATAAATCAACCAATCTAGAATTCATTGACCACGTTCCGGGCATCAGGTTCTTGAATTATGTACTTTTAAAAATATCAGTTTATATTCAAAAATTACTGTGGGAAAACTATCTATAAAAATCCTCTAATTGCACAAAACGTTTTTCAAAAGAGGAATAACATTCATAAATGCAGTTTCCATTTCAATCGTTTATACATCACGAAAACATGAAGTCAGAGCAGTTTAGAAAATTGCAGAAGACTCTTTAGCTGCAGCATACAGGGGAAAAACTCCATTAGAAGACAAATACAAAATTTCTGACTTTATCCGATTCAGACGATAAAAAACAGGATTTTATGGTTAATCTTTGAATTATGGTAACTTGGCAATTTTTTGGCGAAAATTTGGTGACCAACCCTGCTACAGACACCTGCTAGTTTTTTTTGGACGCTATTTTGTTTTCACGAAGTAAAGCCATGTTTTTTTTTTTTTTTTTTTTTTTTTTTTTTTTTTTTTTTTTTTTAAACTCAACATGTTTTTTCAACAATCTGCTAGCCGAATTACGCTTATGCTAGAACTTTTATGGAACAAAAGTGCTTAATCATGACGAAGATTAGGTCCGAAATTGGGAGAAAGTGCAGAATCGCCCACTGCTTGCCGCGTTTTTAAGAACTGCACATACACGGTATCATCCATGTACACGTCGACCTATTTTCACTTAAAAAAACATCTCAGAATTGCACAAAAATGGCATTGCGCACACTCTTGACTTTATCCATGTACACTGTTAAAGTCCTAGCCAGTATACCATATTCCAAAGATTAGCCGATTTTATTTCAGAAGAGGGATAATTAACTCCATAGAAAAATTCTCTGAAGTATGTACTTAATATACGTTACATACCATATAAAAAGTAAAATACTTTTGAATGGTCGTAAGGAATTTGTTTAAAATTATACTATCCAAAAATGTAAGACATATTAAATGCAAGTTTAACTCTTAAATTTGTGTCTATGAATAATTTTATTTGCTAAATTACTGAATCAGCGAAGCAAACATAAGAGACTCGATTAACGCTAGTTTACGGGCATTTTTAGGCCAAAAGGCGTTAGCCCAGAAGGGCTTGCGTCGATTCACTTTTCAAACTGAAATATTATCGCCCTGTATTATATTTAAAGGAACTAATGAAGAATCTGCATGAATGCATTGAATGTTTCTCGTATTGTGAAGAAACAACGGTACTTAGAGACATCAAAGTTTGAATAACGTAGTCCTCCAACCGAACATGGACACCTGGAAGCCCGACTATTGAATTTCGAATTTGTTTTATTACCTATTTAAAATTTTGTAAAACTTTAATGAATTTGTTATTAACAAACTTAACGGTTTTAAAGCGAGCGATGGCAAAACTGTACCCCCCCGGAAAAAAAAAAAAAAAAAAAAACCATTTTTATCTTCGGCGTGCAATATTGTGTATCGGAAATTCTAAAGATATGCTGTTTTGCTAAATAATTTGCAATATTGCTGTTGAATTGAATTTTATGTGTTTTAAGTGCGAAAAACATGATATTTAATCAATAAAGACAACACACAAAACATTAAAAAATCTGAAAATATAATAAAATCTATAATATAAAATCGTAATATAAAATCTGAAAGCTTTCAGATTTTTTCTTTTATTTTTCTTTTATTTTTTTTTAATTTTTTATTTTGTACTATATTTATAGACACCTGTAAAATTGGAACCACACACCCCAACGGCTAGTTATTTGAAAAGTGAAACGGATAACAAAAGCGACTCGACCCAAAAGTTATGTTCAAGAATAACAGCAACACCGAGCTAAATGTATGGCAACACTTAACAGTATATCGGGAATTCTAATGATGTTGCTGTTGGATTTTATATGACGTAAGAGCGAAGAATGCGGCATCTATTAATAAAGTTAAAAAGATAAGAAAAACGTTTTGTTAGCAGAAGTGAGTTCTAGAGAGATAAATTCTGAGCTCAAAGAGAGCACAACAAAACTTAGCAAGCCCTCCGGCAGGACGTTAAAATCTGAATAATTTTTTCCTTATTTAATCAGGAAATATTCTTGTTTTGAATGCTGATTTAATTTTGATAATGAAATGATCTTACTCTTCAAATTAAACTGCTTGCAAATACAGATAAATTGTTGAGAGTGTTCCCTGTTAACTACAATACGAGTTATTCCCTTTCTTGTGATTATTTTAATTGCAGTCAGGTTAACTGTAGACGTAATACCTGATATTACTCCGGTGAATCGAGAGTCTACTGCAATTATTCAACAGCATTTGAACTAAGACTACTATACATAAAGTTAATTCTTTCAAACTAATTCATGTGTAATTTTTAGTTATTTGCTTATTTAAATGATTAGTTTTTCTTGCGAAGCAAAATAAAAATTCACTTATACCTTAGCTAACGTATCAAGAACAACTTCGTTATCCACACGTGTATTTTTATGCACAGCTAGAAAAACCAAATCCACTGAATAGGGATTTAGATGTTATATTGTTCAACTACTACTTCAGCTGGCTAAAATTTGAAACCGTTTTTTTCAGCGTGGTAACAGAAGGGCTAAAGACCTAATACTTTTAAAGGAATGTAAGTAATCCATAAATAAATCGCGTCATTTATACTTAGATGACTTCAATAGTAGCTTGAGAAATATTTTTTTTACGAATCTACTTTTCTGACAAGAAAGAATGTTCATTCTGAACTGTTACATTATAACCCCAAATGTAATACTTGTTTTCAGTTG